AAGCATATGTATATACATATGTGTTTATGTGTGTGTGGGAGGTATATGTGTGGGTATATATGTTTGTGTATCACTTTTTTTTCCCCTGAAGACAGAGGTAGGAAAAGGTGAATGCCCTCTTACTACACAGCATGTCTCCACAAGAGTTTTCAAGTGTTCTAGGATGAAGGTGCTTTGGGTTTTTTTTACCCATTATCTAAAGATATGGAACTTTAAATTTAAGATTAGGCAACTGGGGTTACGTGACTTACCCAGCTGGGGTCATGCAGCTAGTAAGTGCCAAATGTTTGGTCTGAGGCCAGATTTGAACTCGGGTCCTCCTGGCTTTAAGACTGGTGCTCTATCCACTGTGCCACCTAGCTGCCCCAGTTTAAGATTAATCTTAACAAGACCTTTACAACCACTGAATCTTATTTTTAAACTTACTATCTGTATCTTTATGTATAGCAGCAGAGGAAAATACTCAAAGTATTCTGGAATGTATAGATGGACACATCAATGAAGCATAACTGTGATCCTTCAAAAAACATAACGGATATTCTTTAACTGATGGCATAATGCCTGCTGATATGCATCTTTTTTCTTTGCTGTAACCTATCTTAGGTGGCATAGTATATAGAGCACTGGGCCTGAAGTCAGGAAAACCTGAGTTCCTGGGCAAGTTGCTTAACCTTGTTTGCCTCAGTTTACTCATGTATAAAATGAGAATAATAATAGCACCTATCTCTCAGGGGTGTTGTAAAGATCAAATAAGATGATTGTAAAGCACTTAGCACAGTATCTGGTACACATTAAACACTATATAGATGTTATTATTATTATTTCCTTATGACCCCTTTATAAAATATGTGTTCAATAAAATGCAAAAATGTAAAGACAAGTCATAACTGTTTACAACTGTGCCTTTGAGGTAAGAGAAGGGAATTCCCGTTGACTAAAAAAATACATCTTCATATATTTTTATATTGTCCTCCTTCCCCCACCCCAGTTTCTAAGAACAGCAGTCTCCTGTCGCCTAATATGAAGATCTAGGAATAATCAAAATATATTAAACACCTTTCAAAGTTTTTTTTTCTGATAGATATTCTTTTATTTATTCATTTACCTCTTCATTCAGCAAACATATATTAAAGTCCTACTGAGTGTAGATCACTGTACTAGAGCCTAAGGTAGATACAAACTTAGATAATAAAAGCCCAGTCCTCATTGAGTACAATGTCTGGTTGAAAGGTGAGACTCTCACACAGATAATAATAATATACATTATCACATGAAAAATGCATGAGAAGTGAAAAACAAAGTGTCCTGTGTGAGGTCCAAGGGGAAAGCTTCAAACAGATTTAATAATCCTAATAATATATTCCTGGTGTACTATGCTCCCTTTTAGGTCAGAAAAGCCAGACAAATAAATGAAATCCTTTGCAAGTGGAATGTGGAGATGAGTATGGAAGTTAAGCTGCAGGACTCCATGTCTAACCAATAAACACATTTATCTCATACCTAGAGCAACAGAAGAAAGTGAAAATTTTGGAAATAGAATAGTCCTTTCAATATGTGAGAAAGAAAAATCTTCTTGAAAAAAGAACTAATGAAAATAATAGTGATGATAGCAATGCAGAGATTAAGCACATCACCTCTCTGAGAAGGAATACTCTATAATGGTTATGAATTCATATATTCTGTCTGGTAGACTTTATTTAAAATAATTTCCCCTTCTGTAGATTTTTTTTTTTATTCTCAAATTACGTTTCAAATTTGGTTGAGAGGAGGCTTAACAGAAAGTTGATGTAAGTTAAGATTTAAAGGTTGGGGCAAATGCAAAGTATCTAAGATAACATTTTGGCAAATGGCAAGGATTAAAAGATTCAGAATGCAGCTAATTAAAGAAATACTACACATGCTATGAAGTATAAGCTATGTCTTGTTCATGATAATGCTAGAGTAAAATATACCAAAAATGGTTTTAATTTTAAACAGAAACTGGGTCATTGGTACATCCACACCAATATTATTTAAAATGAATCAGTAAACAATATGGTCTAGTAGCAGTAGAACAGGGCAGTGAATCAGCAAAATTATGGCAAGGATTCAGACTTATTTAGACCTTAACTTACTTTGTGACCTCAGATGGATCATTTGACCACTGTTTATTTCCATTTACAACCCTATGAGTAAGTTAAACAGTACATACTATTTTGACCCATTTTCCTTAAGAAATAGACAGTAAATATATCAGAATTTAAATGCTGAAGTTTGTATCCAAAGCTGTCACAATATGTCAGTAATAGCCCAGTTGACCCAAAACATAGATTTCATTCATGGGCAATTTTAAATCTCTCTAGTCGTATTTTCAGTGCTGACCCTCCCGTGGATAAACACAAGCTGTCTAAATGATGATATACTAGGTAACAACGATAACAGCTATTTAAAGAAGATAAATTCTGTGTCATTAGAGTGGACTAGTCAATAATTACTTTGGTTTACAACCTTCATGTGTCTCTGTATAGGCAAGGTGGGGTAAGCGTTGAAGTGGATTAGAGTTCATTATAATATCCTTTCCGTGGATAGGTTGTGTTTTTGAAGAGACCGTTTGGCCTTATTTACTATGCCTCGTAAGAATGTTATTAGGATTTCTTGGCTTTGTTCCCAAAGGGCATTAAGATCTTTGCAGAATGATAAAGGAGGAGGAAAAGGAGGAGAAGGAGGAGAAGTAGTAGTAGCAGCTGCAGTGACAACCATAGCAGCGGTGGCTGGGTGCCATAGTTGATGAAATGCTGGGCCTGGATTCAGGAAGACTTGGAATCGTGTAGATTATCTTCCAGAGTTCAAATCTGGCCTCAGACACTTATTAGCTGTGTGACCCTGGGCAAGTCGCTTAACCCTGTTTGCCTCAGTTTCCTCATCTGTAAAATTAGCTGGAGAAGGAAATGGCAAACCGTTCCAGTATCTTTGCCATGAAAAGCCCAAATGGGGTCATGATTGAACAGCAGCAACAACTCCTGCTTACTTACTAAACTTACTTACTTACTTACTTACTGTGAGACACTGGGCCAGTCACTTAACTTCTGTCTTTCTCAATGTCCTCAACTATAAAATAGGAGTACAGGGCCTGAGTTCAAATCTGGTCTCAGACACACAATACTCACTAGCTGTGTGACCCTGGGCAAGTACCTTCACCCCATTGCCTATCCAAAAGAATTTAAAAAAAGTTTAAAAAAGCAGAAAAAAATAATAATAGCACCTACCTGACAAGGTTGTGGTGAGGGTATGGCACATGGTAGCACGATAGATAGATAGATATCTTTATATAGTTTTACATAGGTTTGAAAGCACTTTATATACATGATCTCATTTAATCCTCACAACTACCCTGTAAGGTATGTTTTATCATTATCCCCATTTTGTATATGAGGAAACTGAGGCTGAGATGTTAAGTGACTGCCCGAAGTTACCCAGACAGTAAGTATCTGAGGTAGGATTTGAATTCTTGACTCTAAGTCCAATACTCTATTCATTTCACTACTTTGCTATTAAAAATATTATCATTTGGCATAATTCCCCTCTCCACGTATAAGAGATTGCCAACAGAATATACTCTGGAGGATATAGGATTCACCAGATATCTGAGTCTTGCCTGAATAAGCTTTCACAGAGAGCAATAAAATATTTGTCTTTTCCTTATGATTAGGGATTTCAAGACTCCCTAGCAAGTCCATATGGCTAAATAATCACACCAATAATTAGTAGTTTTGAACTATCAGCTTCTGCCTTGTGAAGAGCAAGAACTTGTAAGAGTAGCCATTTTAACTTTTTTAAATATGTCTAAAACTCATATGGTTAGCATCTTAGAATGGATGACTCCTCTCTCACTTGCTTCCTCAGCGAAAGCAAAGGTAATTTTTCAGACTGGACCAGGTAATGGATTGCGAGCCGGTGAAAACCGGTTTGATTGATATGGCTCCAATTTTTTTCCTAGATAGATATATGCCAAGGCTGATAAACCCAGACATTGGGCATTAATCTCCTTCAGCCTCTTGCTAGACTGGGATTGTTCAAGTTAACTTCCCTACATCCCTGTCCCTAATTCATCACCCTTTATTTAGAAAATACTTTCACTTTACAGGTTCTAGAGTTAATGATACAGTCTCCCATTGGTATCATGCTGGCTCTTCTTTTAAAAAATATCTATATATGTGTATGTATCTACACCTACATCTACATCTATATCTATATCTATATCTATATCTATATCTATATCTATATCTATATCTATATCTATATCTATATCTATATCTATGTCTATGTCTATGTCTATGTCTATGTCTATGTCTATGTCTATGTCTATGTCTATGTCCACATCTATGTTTATGTATCTATCTATATACATGCATATACATATAAGATTAACATAGATAGATATAGACATATACACACATTGGCCATATATATACACACACACACACACACACACACATACATAGATACACACATACATGTATGGGTATATAATATATATGTTATACATACATACATACACAAACACATGGGTATCTGTGTGTGCATAAAGCTCTGAAGGCCTCTGGGCCTTCTTCTGGAACATAGATACCCCTCCCACCAATTGTGTGCTGCCCACTGTGGGCATGTAGGCTGCACACCAAGATTATTCCCACTACCAGCTGTTCTCTTCCCTTTCTTTGTAAGTATCAATAAAGGTTGTTAAAAGCTCTCTCAGTGTGGGCTTTTACTCTTCATCTCAACTCCCCCAAACTACCATAACAGCTTCAAATTTTAAAAACATTGTATAATTTCTCAAATCCAAACCAGCCTACGCTCTTCCTCTGTTCAGTCATGGTCCCAATTGATTGTTCTTCAGCCATGTCTGTCCCAGAAATGTGTACTAATATAATTACTCGGTGGACTCACCTTCCAACTGCACATTGTAGTCTGGACAATAAACTGTTTTTCACCTGTTTAATTTATCCCATATGTATTAGGCTTATCTCTTTTGAGAAAGCATGGATGTCATTGAACTGAGGATGAAGAATGCTACTAACCTTCTAACAGAGGTAATAGATACAAGATGCAGAATAAACATATATTTTTGACATGGTCAATGTGGGAATTTGTTTTGCTTAACTATGAATATTTGTTTAAAAGGCTTTGTTTTCCTCCCCTTTCCTTTTTTTTTCAGTTTGTTGAGAAGAGGGCAGAGTGGGAGTGGCACATGGATAGGACAGCAAAGAAAAAGAATGAAAAAGAAAAAGAGACAATGAAGCTTAAAAACAAAACAAAAGCAAAAACAGAAGTGAAAAGAAGGAAGGCTAGAAAGAATTATGGACTAGCAGGGCAGCTTTGAAAGAAACATTTTGAGTTTGTTATTTATTATATTACACATGTATATAAATATTTGTATGTACTTAAAGAAAACAAGCTGTATATGATAGAGCTTTACAGGGTCATGTACAATCTAAGTATACGGACATGCGTATTTTATTTGGTGTTTGTTATGTTCATGATAAAAAATGTAAAAAAAAATAAAATGAATGGGTTTGGCTAGATGATCGCTAAGGTCTTTTCCAACTTTAATTTCTGTGGTTTAAGGAAATTTGGCAAAGTCTGTTGTGGCTTAGGAGGGAAAGGAATTAAGGGTGAGGGAAGTTTCTGGATAAATTGCCACAAGGTAGTTACACAGCTTTTTCCATTACTTGAAGAAAGTAGCATTGTCAACCTTATAGCACTATACAAATGCAAAACATCAGTATGATTGTATTCTGGTTTTCAGTGACAAACTTTGTGTGGAATTCAAATTTAACATTTTTTAAAGAAAATAAAAACTTGCCATCAAATACAAGCAACAACCAAAGTCACTGAGCTCTTTGAAAAGGCCTGTGAGAATGTGAGGCTTCATAGCACAATATCACAGATATACAGATGTTATTGTTTGTCCTTTGTTTTCAAAGAAGGCTAATGACATCGCAGGGTGATGTGGATTTAAGTGACGCAGAGGTGCACAAAGTAATCAGCCTTACTCTTTTTCAGAGTCATTCAATTCCAGTGGCAAGACAAAAATCAAGACAACCAGCAGTGGATGGCCCAGGATGCAATGGCTGGACAAAAGTTAGGACAAGGGGAGGAGTGGTGTGGTCCAAGATGCAATGGATGACCTTGGTGTCTCCAAGAACTCCACAACACCTGTTTTAGCCTTATTCATGGCTATTGGAATAAATTGTTCTCTTCCACCCATTTCATTAGAGAAAGTCTTCACATGCTTTGGGTAAACATTCCCCTAACCCACAGTCAAGTTTGAAGCCTGTGAGGTACTCTCAACCTGGTTTAGTCCATCTGCAGAGACAGTTTACCAGGGTCTGACTGCTGTACATGCTACAGATTCTTGGATCCACAGGTGAGATTTGGATGAATCAAGCAGACATCAAAGGTGTAGATCTAAATAGATATAGGTAGACAGATTAAGATATGTACATATACACACATACAAATACACACACATATACATAGATGTATAGATGAAGCTTTTATTAAATACTTCCTATAGGCCAGGAATAGCATCCACAAACAGGAAGCCCTCACCATCTATAGGGGATTCCTCTTCCATTTGGTCTATGGATCATGAATATGCTGAATACTTTTGGTAAGTAACATACTCTCTGGTTTATTCCTTTCATGATTGTAATATCCAGAGGATCACTGAATACAGTTATCTCTATGATTTATCAAGGAGTCTTATATGATTTTAATATATGCATGAAAAATAGTTTTTTAGAACAGAGTCTTTAAGACTATTTTACTGTACTGGATCAAAAGGTTTGAATTTTCTGTAGCTTTTGGTAACTTGTAATATTACACAGATCTAGTTTGCTTTGGAAAGTAATTGGCAAAAGTCTACTTGATGCTTCTTATATTTTCATCAAGGATGCCTGAGATATTTGTTTAGACCTTTTTCATAATGATTTTATTAAGAAAATAGTCATCTGTATATATAGTTACTGATATTCTCTTATCCACTATTTTGGAAATAATAATATAGATTATCTCTTTTTCCTTGTTTTTAAGGCATCTTCTCCTTTAAGAGATATAAAATGATTTCTCAATAGATTCAAGATTGTGCTTTTAGCACAGCTTTACCCAGTGTGCAGTTGGGTATAGCCACTCCTTCAGACTTCATCTTCCTAAACACTTTCTTATCAAATACACTGGTGCCTTAGGTATTAGACTTCAAAGGTCGTAATTCCTCTGTCATTGGCAATAGAAATAGAGTGATATAAAAATATTGACAACTCTGAGTACAGATTGAAGCATACTCTTTATTTTTCATGAGGTTTTTTTGGGTGTACATTTTCTTTTGCTATATGTATAATATGGAAATGTGTTTTGCATGACCTCACATGTATAATCAAAATCATTGCTTGCTTTCTCAAGTGCTGGGGGAGGGATGGGAGAGAGAGAATTTGGAACTCAATTTTTAATGAATGTTTTTTACATGTAATTGGGAAATATTTAATGAAATAAAATGTATTAAAAATAAATATTGCTAAGTCTGTTCCAGCTTTAAAACCTCATTGCTTCTCCAAGGATAATTGTGACCCATCTTTCCCTTTAGTTGTGACTTCTTTACGCTTTCTAGTTTTTAATACTGTGAGAAAGCCAATATTGATGTAGTTCAGTTCTTCCACTCATATATCAATGTTTTAGTATGTGGATAGAGATGGCATTTATTAACCACTTAACCATGTGCCAGGCACTGTACTAAGCATTAGAAATACAAATGCAAGAAAAAAAGATAGTCTCTACACTTATATTCTAATGGAATAAAACAATAAATAAAAGGTAGGTGGAAAATGGGTGAGAATGGGGGTGGGGAACACTCAAAGGGTCAAAGCAGCTATTGAGGAGGTGTCCAGATACCCAAGTGAGGAGTTAGGAGTGAAAAGATCATGGCATGGGCATCTCATGAAATGGTGGTCCAGGTCCAGGTCCAATCAGAAGACAGGTCATCAGGACAGCAGTATCTTCTACAAGGTAGGAAAGCTGCTGGTGGGGAGGTGAATTTTTTTTAGGAAAAAAATCTCAAATTTAGTTAAGTAAATATTATAGCTTCTTTATAATCAGAATCATTTTTATGACCAGTAACCCCATTTTCTATCTCTCTACGATCATTATTGCAAAAAAGGAAGGATATATGGGACCAAAGACCATTTTGTATTATCCTTTCTTTCATGAGTTGCCATGGCCAAGAATTCATTGCACAGTGGTCACCCTCTCTGTACTTGGCTTTAAGATAGACAGTCTGTCACCAGGCCAATCTTTAAAGACATTTTAGCCTGGTAGAAACTTTCAGAGCTCATGCTCCACTAATTTAGTCTTTGAGAGGAAGTCGTTAGAGGAAGATTATATAGAGAATCTTTTGAGAATATCAACTACTACACAAATGTTTAGGTTTAAATATTCATCAAAGTATTCTGATTGATTTGTAAGTTAATGCAATGTAATATCACTTTGCTCAGAGGTATTGATTTACATTGAGATATTCCTTACTCAAAATTTTCATTTTCATGGTAAATAACTTTTAAACAAAATATAATTAGTCTCTACTACAAAATCCTTTTCACTGTACTTTGATGGCCAAAAACTGTTGATTCTTCAAGGCTGATATTTAAACAAAGCAAAGCTTCTTTTTTTGATTATTGGCCAATATTTTAGTCCTGATGAAATTTATTTCATCATAATTAGTGGTCTACCAGGCAGAGCTCTGGATTTGGAGTGGTGAGGAGGCCTGAGCTTAAGTCCTGGCTCTGCCCTCTTACTATATATATATATGGTCTTTGTTTATTCATTTCCTCTTATCAACCCTCATCTGTAAAATGAGGGAATTATAGATTTCTGCTATCACAGAATTTGAGAGCCAGAAAGGACTTTAGTAGTCAAACCCATAAACTAAAGGAATTCTTGCCATAACATACCAACAAGTGGCCATCCAGCTTTTTGAACACCTGGAAGGAAGGGAAATTCATTAGATCTCAAGTGAATCCATTCCAGCTGGGACCAACTTTGATAGTTGAAAGCTTTTCCTGATATCACACCCAAATTTGACCATTTGTAACTTTCACCCATTGCTCCTAAATTTGCCCTTTGGAGACAAACAGAACGAGCCTAATCCCTCTTCTCCTTGACAGCTCTTCAAATACTTGAACATTGATGTCATGTCCTTTGTCTGATCTTGTCTTCTCTTCTCCAGGCTACCTATCCACAGTTTCTTCAACCAATCCTCATATGACATGGGCTCAAGGTCCTTCATCATCTTAATGGCCTTCCTCTGGGATAGTCTGCAGTGTATCAATATCTTTTTTAAACCATGGTGTTCCGAATTGAACACAACACTCCAGATGGGGTTTGATGATGGCAGAGTACAGAGGGACTAGTACCTGTTTATTCCTGGAAACTACCTCTCAATCTAGCCCAAGATCAAATTACCTTTTTTTGGCTACCACAATCGTACTGTTGACTCATATCAAGCTTATAATTCATTAAACACACTAGATCTTTTTTTCAGAGAAACTACTGCCTATCCTGGCCTGCCCTGTCTTGTACTTGTCACACCACACACACACACACACATATTTAACCAAGTATAACATTCTATATTTATCCCAACTGAATTTCTTTTTATTGGATTCAGCCTAATTCAGCCTATTAAGTTCTTTTTCGATCCTGACTCTTGTGCAGTAGATTCACTACCCCCCTGATTTGTTGTCATTTAAAACTTGATAAAAATATCATCAGTGCTTTTATCCAAGTTATTGATAAAATTATTAAACAGTATAAGAACCAGAATAGATCTTCGAGGTATCTCCAGGTTGGACTAGATGATCTTTTGAAGCCCCCTCTAACTCTGAAATTTATGAGGTTATGATACTAATTTAATGACCCTAATTACTTACATTATGTACCTTACAAGGCTACTTCGAGAATCAAGTGAAATAACAGCTGTGAAATGCTTTGTAAACTCTACAGAACTGTATAAATGTCAAGACTTTTTTTTTTAAATTTAAGCTAAATGTTTAAAGCCACAACATTCCAGGCTAGCTGGATAAAGGAATGACGTATGCTTCCTACAACCACACTTGAAATTTAATCCTCAGAGTTACATGGTCATTGATCAGAATACCAACAGGAAAAGTCTTGTGGACAGTGAGATATGGCCGTCTAACAAAATGATCTCAGAG